ATATATATATATATATATATATATATATATATATATATATATATATATATATATCTACTTGATAACTAACATATATTTTTTATCACATTTTCAGTAGCACGCAAAATTATCGCGATATTATCAATATTTTCTGTCTTCTTTTATTAATTATTTTGTATTTTAAGAGATAATATTTGGCATGTTATAAGCTAATGTAATTGCATGTTATAAGCTAATGTAAAAACAACTGTGCTATATGGTAATTATTACAGAATGTTAATTGCATCGGTAACTCATCGAATCTAGTATATTTATAAGATAATATCTACAGATAAATAAATTATTGTAAGGGACGTAGTAACTTTTTCTACGAGATAAGAAAGCAAATTACTTTTTTAAATACAGCCCAGCACAAAAATATGTAACTAAAAATATATAATTCTATATCAATATTCAATAAACGTGTTAAGAAAGTAATAATCGCTAAAATATACAAAACGAAGAACGCAAAAACTTTAAACACGTAAAACCTCGCTTAATAATGTTTAAATATGTTTAAATATGACCCAGCAATCAGAACAATTGTTGAAACCGTTCATATTGCAAAAATTAAAGGTATGTATAATTTATATAAAATAATATCAAAAACAATTTCATACCAAGCAAATGTGTGCGCGTATGACTGGTAAAGAATGAAAGTAAAAATAAATTTTAGTAAAGCTTCAACAAACATTATTATAACGATTAACAACAATTAATTTAAATTTTAATTTCAATTTGTCGATTCGTAAGGATATATATCATATAAAATATTGATAACATTTTATGATTCTATCTCCATACGCGTTGACATATCTGCTTAAATATATTCTTTAGGAATATTTTCTTTGTTCTTATTGTCTCGCTGGAGTCGCTGCTTCGCGAAACGTAACCATTCTGCCACGATGTTTTCTGCTTCTGTTAACGTCATATGGCGTGATATAACCTCTCCTTAAAAGAAGTAAAAATGAATGGTTAAAAATACTTCAATAAATACTTTGTGCACTTAGCAATGTAAAACATACTTTTCATTAATTTTATTAGCTTTAAATCACATATTTTGAAATTATCTCTCTTTCCTCTCCACGAGCAATCCATTGCACATTTATTGGTGAATATATTCTTCAAAATTCGTTGAACATCGTCTTTTGGATTGTTTCCGCCAATTTTTAATACAAATATTTTCTGGGAAATTAATTTTTATTAATGCATATTTCATATATTTACGATAGTGATAATAGTTTTTACAGAAAATTATAATAAACTGTTCTCATATATAAGGGAAGTTGCCTATTGCGTATCGATTATGTAATATAAATGTCATAAATTTATTTCTTATTATTAAATATATGTACATTATAATAATAAATAACGCTCATTAATAAAAAAAATGAGTAACAAGAAATATGTGCAAAATATTATAAAAATTAATAACATCTTGTTTTGTGCGTGTTCTGAATATATGAAAAAGTCAGATATAAATCTCTGATAAAACAATTTCATATATAATCATGTGTTCTATATATATAATCATATAAAATTATGCAAGAAAAAAATTTGCCCATACATAATTTATATATTTATAATTAACTGATTATTATTGTACTTTAAAAAAAACTCTTTGTTAGAAAATTAAATGTAATTATATGAAGCCATACATGATTATATACAAAATTTTTTTACAGAGTCATGTAACTTTTTTAATTAATACCTATTTTTTAATTTATACCTCATAATGATATAACAATTACTATTACATAATATTGTTTTTATGAAAAATTATTTGTGCAATAGTTATACTGTAATATACAGAATAGTGACATAAATAATTAGTATACAAAAACACTTAGTTGCTTTAAAAAAATTTATCATTATACACAATTAAATGATCATTCTTCTGTAAATAAGATTACTTTTTATTATTTTTATAAGTACAATATTATATTGGGTGTACAACTTAGTTCGGTCCGTTTTCAAAAGATGGCTCTAGGTGCTATAAATGGTTGACGGCGACAGCTGATTTTTGCTGTATCGTGAAGTGTCAACATCTGTCAACGAAATATTGTTTACAAGCCTTTGAGTTTTGCACAACAAGTTTAATTTTTACTGCGTTGAAAATGTCGAGTTTCGTTCCAAATAAGCACCATTTGCGGGAAGTTTTGATTTTCTGTTTCAATTGGAAGAAAAGTGCAGCTGAAGCGCATCGAATGCTTGTGGAAGTTTATGGTGAATCTGCACCGTCGGATAAATCTT